GAGGATATTTCAGGAAGTACTACAATATGAATAGGAGCCTATGATAAGAAGGAGGAAGTTGAAGCTGCATTGAAAGCATTGGCAAAAAATAAGGCCCCAGGAATCGGTTGGATATCAATTGACTTAATCAGTTGATGCAGCCTTGGATGCATCACTAGTCTATGCCAGAAAATTTGGAGGACAGCTGTCTGGCCAATATATTGGAAGAGGTCTATATTTCTTTCTATTCCCAAGAAAGGTGATCCAACAGAATGTGGAAATTATCTAACAGTATCATTAATACTATACTCCATGCAAGGGAAATATTGTTGAAGATCATTAAAAATGGCTAGAACAGTACATAGATAGGGAATTGCCAGAAGCTCAAGCAGGATTTAGAAGCGGCCATGACCCTAGCAACATCATTGCTGATGCCAAATGAATCCTGGCTAAAAGTAGAGAATTCCAGAAGAATGTCTTTTTGTGCTTTCTTGACTATGCAAAGGCAATTGACTGTATGAATGATGACAAGTTGTGGCTGACACTGAGAAGAATGGGAATCCCAGAGCACTTGATTGTGCTCATTCAAAATCTATACCTGGCTGTTGTGGGAACAGAGCAGGGAAACACTACATACTTTAAAATTAAGAAAGGAGTGCATCAGGGTTGTGTTCTCTCTCTGTACATGTTCAGTCTATATGCTGAGCAAATTATTCAAGAAGCTGAACTCTTTGAAGAGGAGTGTGACATCAGGATCAGAGGGAGACTCATCAACAACCTCCATTATGCAGAGGACACGACCTTCCTTGCTGAAAGTGAGGAGGGCTTGAAGCACTTGTTGCAGAAGATCAAGGAATGCATCCTTCAAAATGGATTGCATCTCAAAGTCAAGAAAATAAAGATTCTTACGACTGGACCAATAGGCAACATCATGATGGATAGAGAAATATTGAAACTGTCAACAATTTCATCTTACTGGGATCCACAGTTAACACCCTTGCTACCAGCAGTCAGGAAATCAGGAGATGTATTATATTGGGAAAGTCTGTAGTTATGGACATCTCTAAATTATTGAGGAGCTTTGATGTCATTTTGAAGACTAAGGTGCATCTAATTTAGGCCATAGTCTTTCCGATCACTTGCTATGCATCTAAGAGCAGGACAATGAATAGGGATGTCAGAAAGAAAATGGATGCCCCTGAGCTGTGGTGTTGGACAAGAGCGCTGAACATCCATGGATTGCCAGAAGAACAAACAAATATGTCTTGGAGAGGGTGCAGCTCGAGTGCTCTTTGGAGGCAAGGATAATGTGGCTTCATCTCATATATTTGGGCATGTTGTTATGATGATCTATCTAGTCCTTGGAGAAGGACACAATGCTTGGAAGGGTAGAGGGTTGGTGAAGGAAAGAGAGGCCCTTGACCAGGTGGATTGACATGGTGACATCCCCAGGGGGCTCTACTGTGTCAGGAAGTGTGAGGATGGCACAAGATAGGATGACGTTCAGATCTGCTGTTCATAGGGTCACTATGAGTTGTACTCAACTCGATGTCACCTAACAGCAACAGTAATGCCTATAGCAGTGCAAAACACAATGTATTTAGTAAATATTTGCAGAGTAGATTCTCTCTCAAAATGGCAGCTCGCTTCCTGCAGGGCAGGTGAGTAAAGACATTCCAGTCCCAGCGTGCCTCCGATGCGAACTCCCCACCTTGCAGTGCAGTATGCAGAGTGCCTCACTTCTGCTTCCCTGCCATGCTCCCAGCTGAAGCTCCAGGTCTTGGTCAGGAGCATGAACCAATACCCCTGAGACAGGCGATCAGGGCAAGGCATGCCTCAGATTCTGCCACTTCAAGCCTGCTCACCCTTTTAGCTATGGTGTGCACTTTGCATCTGCCAACTAGCAATCTCCTTTTATTTTCCAATTTGGACATCAAAATATTTGTTATTGTTGTTATGTGCCATCAAATTACCTGCAACCTTATGCAGCTCTGAAGCCTGCCCTGTCCTGAGCCAATCTGACTGATTCCAACACACCTACCTCCATTGCCCCAGCTACTGTATCAATCCATCTAATCCACGGTCTTCCTCTCCTGCGCTGTCTCTCCACCCTTCTGAGCATGATATCCTTCTCCGAGGACTGGTACCTCCTGGCCACATGCCCAAAGTATGTGAGACAGAGCATCAAAATCCTAGCCTCCAGGGAGAAACTTGGTTTCACCCTTTCCAAGACAGACCTGTTTGTTTTCTTGGTAGTCCATGGTATATTCAAGACTCTTCTCCGGCACCACAACTCAAAGGCACCAATTCTTATTCTGTCATCCATAGTCGTTATCCAGCTCTCTGATGCATGGAAAATAATTGCAAAGACCATGGCCTGGATCAGGTAGTAAAAAAAAAGTATTACACACACACACACACACACACACATATGACTGTGGATCACAACAAACTGTGGCTGACTCTGAGAAGAATGAAAATTCCAGAACACATGATTCTGCTTATGCAAAACTTGGACCAGGAGGCAGTTGTCAGAACAGAACAAGGAAACACTGCATGGTTCAAAATTGGGAAAAGTATACACCAGGGATGCGTCCTATCTCCATACCTTTTCAATCTATATGCAGAAGAGAATAACCGGGAGGTTGTGCTCTACGAGGAGAAATATGGCATCAGGATTGCAGGAAGACTCATCAACAATCTGCATTACACAGATGGCACAATCCTGCTTGCAAAACCTGAGGGGGACCTGAACCACTTGTGCAGAATATCAAGGACTACAACTTTCAATATAGATTGAAGCTCAACATAAAGGAAACAAAGATTCTCACCACTGGGCCAATTGGCAACAGCATGATAAATGGTGAAGAGATTGAGATTTTTAACAGCTTCCGTTTGCTTGGCTCCATTAATCAACAATCTTGGTACCAGCAGCCAGGAAATTAAAAGACTAATTGCATTGAGAAAGTCTGCTATCACAGACCTGTCCAAAGTACTGAAGAGCAACAATGTCAGTCTGGAGACTAAGGTGTGCCTCATTCAGGCCATGGTCTTTGCAGTTACTTGCTGTGTATCAGAAAGCTGGACAATGACTAGGGGTGATAGAATGAGAATTGATGTCTTTGAGCTGTGGTGCTGGAGAAGAGTATTGACTAGATCATGGACTGCTAGTAGAACAAACAGGTTTGTCAGAGAGAGGGTGAGACCAGGCTGCTCCTTGGAGGCAAATATTCTGAAGCTTCGTCTGACATACTTTGGACATGTTGCAAGGAGGGACCAGTCCTTGAAGAGGAAGGTCATGCTTGAGAGGGTAGAGGGACAGCACAAGAGAGGAAGACCCTCGATGAGATGGATTGATTCAGTGACTGGGGTAATGGGGATAGGTGTGTCAGAGACAGTAAGATTGGCACAGGACAGAGCAGAGTTTAGGGCTGTTGTACATAGAGTCGCTATGAGTTGCATTTGACTCAACAGCACATAAAAACAACAGCATGTAGTTTATTTTTTAAAGTGTATATATATATATGTGTATGTGTGTGTATATGCAAAATATTTGCCATTTCAGCATTCTTCATATCAAGTATTTAGTGACATTGTCTATTATGTTCATAGCATGGTTCAGCCATCTGAATCTCACAGCCCATTCATACATTTTTCCATTGCTCTTAACAGAAGCACAGTGCTTCCTAAACAATTCTCTCTCCTCCTTGTTAAACTCTAACAAACTTGGATCTCTATATATATTCACATTTAAAACTTAAAAAAAATTACTTTGGCTAGCATTCTGTTTGAAGGGGGAAGAAGGAATTTTGTCTGTCTAGTCTGTGCATCTGAGAGCTGGACAATGACTAAGGATGACAAAAGAATTGGCGCCTTTGAGCTGTGGTGTTGGAGCAGGGTACTGAAAGTCCCACGGATTGCCAGTTGCACAGATATGTCTTGGGGAAAGTGCAGCCAGAATGGTCCTTGGAGGCAAAGATAATGAAGCTTCATCCCTCATAATCTGGACATGCTGCTAGGAGAAGTTGCAGCAGTGGGCTGGAGTGTATCAGAGATTGGGAGAACAGAGCACAGGATAGGACAGAGTTCAGACCTGTTGCTCATAGGGTCGCTATGAGTCCTACTCAACTTGAGGGCACCTAATAGCAACACTGTAATCTGTCTACAGCACCTAGAACAATCTTTTGCACTGAGAAGATGCTCAGTTAATACTTGTTTGTTAAATGAATGACTTGCTTTATAGATGACAAAATTGAAGTCAAGAGGTCAGACTTTGGTCACCAGTGCCCTTCAGTGTCCGCCACTCTCTTTGTCCAGCAGCTGAGGAATTGGGCGTCTGGGCAAGACCTGCAGGCAAAGCTGCAGCTGCACTCCCGGGAGATCACCAGCAAACTCAACATCCACCCAAGCTCCCATGGGCTGCAGCCACAGCTTTCCAACAGCTGCCACTGCCCACGGCACTAGGAAGCCATGTCCCCCAACAAGGTGCTGACGTCAGCCCAACAGCAAGGAGCTAGTGACCTCTACCAGGAAGTTCTGTCCCCCAATAAGATGCTGGTTTCAAGCAGGGAGCTCAGTGACCACCACTGAGAAGCTGTGTCCCCCAACAAGGTGTTGTTGTTAGGCCATCCAATAAGGGAGCTAGTGACCCCAGCCAGGAAGCTGTGTGCCCCCCTCCTCCCCACAAAGCGCTGGTGTCAGGCCACCAGGAGGGAACTAGTGTCTGCGGCCAGGAAGCTGTGTCCCCTCACAAGGCACTGTGCTAGCCCAGCAGAGAGCTAGTGACTACCACTGGGAAGGTGGTAACATGGCTCCTCTGATGAAGTGGTGGAACTGCCCTGGGCCCAGGCCACCTCTGACCCTGGGCCCGGTGCACCTGGCCGTGTGCACAAGACACCTGACCATGCTTTTACCTTGGGATGTGACCAAATTTACGAGAAATAGATTGAGCTCCTTGAAAGGAAAAAAGGGTCAAAGTTCCCAGTCATTCAGGACTGTTCACTTTTGATTGTCTTTCTCAGGAATCTGGTCAGCAGCTCTGAATGGAGACCTGGGCCGGGTGAAGTATTTAATTCAGAAGGCCGCGGATCCCAGTCAACCAGATGCAGCTGGCTACACAGCTCTGGTGAGTGTGGAGACTCTCCCATAGTTAGGACACAAGGCCAGGGAGGACAGGGCAGGGCCAAGGGAGGAGGTCCCTGCTCTCAGAGGATGGCACCTGTGTTTGCCATTATCCCCTCCCTCTACTCCTTCACCCTCAGCTGGTGTTCAATTTTAAGTGTCATGTGAACCTGGGTATTTAAATTAGTGTCAGTGCATTTTACATCAACTATTTCATTTCATTTTCATAACAGTCCAGTGAGTTAGGCACATTTTCCAGTTGATGAAGTGGACGCTAGAACTGAAGATGCTGGCTCAGGTCACACAGCTGATAGAGGTGACAGCAGGTTATCTGAGGAGTCACCCCCGGCCTGTGTTCTCACCCACTCACCAGCCAGAGTCCTACCGTCTAACTGTCTCTGTCCCCTGCAGCACTATGCCAGCCGCAATGGACATTACGCTGTGTGCCAGTTCCTGCTGGAAAGTGGAGCCAAGTGTGACGCCCAGACCCATGGGGGTGCCACGGCGCTGCACCGTGCCAGCTACTGCGGACACACAGAAATAGCACGGCTTCTTCTTTCCTATGGGTCCAACCCCACAGTGGCTGATGACGATGGCATGACCAGTTTACATAAGGTTTGGCTTTTTCCACCTTCAAAACCCTGTTAGTTCTAATTATCATGTTTTCAAAACAGAAAACAAAGTTGTCATTTCAGTCCTCTCATGTCCTAGTATTAGGATTAGTGTGTCATTTTTTATCCTTTTTTCCTGTGCTTATTAAATGAAAATTTAGAGTGCCATTTTAATTTCCTTTCACTTAATGATGTTATTAATGCTTTTCATATCTCTTCTTTTTAAAACTTACACCCACTCTATATGCCTGTCACTTTCATTCGTTTTCTGTATAATAGGATGATCATGCAATCCACCTTTCCACTCCCCAACACCACAAAGTCCCCTACTCAAAATACCTATGCAAAGTCAACAAAGAATTAAATGTATACCAGGAGCCTGGGTTCCCCTCCACCCTTGACCCTCCAGGCAATCCCTGTAAGTTCCCTAAGCTACTCTGAGAGCTCTGTGCATCTATAGTGTATAAATCTGTTCTTTCCCATTGCTTTCCTCCCAGAGTGGTGTTGGGAATCCTTGAGTCAGAATATACTCCCTCTGGTGGGTTGTGAGAGGCTGTAAATCACGTGGCAGGAGACTACTCATCTTTCTTCCAAGGAGCAGCTGGTGGATTTGAACTGCATGCCTTTGGGTTGGCAGCACAGCTCTTTACCACCAAGGCACCAGAGCTGCCTCTCCTCTCCTAGGGTAGTGACTTTAAGAAATAGTTCTGGTCGTAACCCTTCTTCAGTGGCCTCTTACCAGATTATGGGGCTGCTTGACAAGGCCTCCTGGAGTTAACACTTAGAGTTCAGCTAGTAAAATCAGAGAAGCAGGCCCCTCTCTGGTTTTGCTGAGTGTACTTGTGTGTGGCACTCAGGAGCTGCAGATCTTTTTTGATTTCTTGAATCTACTCTGCTCTCACCCGAGAACCAAGTTCCCTCTGTGTGGCTGCCTCTTCATTTCCATTTCCATCTTCCACCCCTCCCTTTCTGGAACTCAGCTTATCCATCACAGACTGAGAGAACCCTCTCTGACCAGCACACGTGATCGAGCTTGCCCACTATAAGCCCAAAGCACCTGTTCTGGACTGTTCTTAACTCTCACTGCCCTTGAAATGGTCTTTTTTGTGTCTGCCTCGCTAGAGAGGCCACTATGGCTTGATCTTGTTTCCTGTTACATGCGGGTCAGCACTCATCACAGGTGCTCGAGGAAATTTCCAGAGTGACTAACTGGATGTTGTTAATTTTTTAAGATGCTCTTCAGTCGAATTATTTCATCATAGTCTAAACGGGCGTTGCCACAGCTGACATGAGAAACAGCAAAAGTCCTGCTGTGGGTAGGCCTGCCTGGCATCAACCCACAATTTACAGGGCTCTGAATGCATCTCTGTCCGTTTTTCTCTCATTCAGCAGCACCATGTATGTGGGAGTGTAAGGCATACAAATTATGTTCTTTTTTTAAAAAAATCAATAGTTTCCAACTGTTAGTACTTTATAATTTTGTAAAAATTTCTTTTGAATACAACTCCCCAAGTGCTCATCATGAACCTAAATTGAGACAAAAAGTTGAGAACCTCAGGTCTATACTTATCAAGAGTACCTGCCTAGTGAAAGTACTAATTATAAAAGGTAGAACATGGTGGTTTCTGTTTTTTGGTTTAGTTTTTTTTTTTCCTTGTTCTACATGCAGAAATTTTTTTTTCTTTTTAAACAGTTTTCTCCCTCATCTGTTTCAGTGCAGTATACATTATTGAACCCGTCTTTCTCAGTCTCCCCCCAGCCCCGAGGTCAGTCCTATTTTATAACAGTGGCACCATGCAATATTTGTCCTTTTGTGACTGAGATATTTCACTCAGCATAATGTCCTCCAGGGTCACCCATTTTGAATAATATTGCATGAGTTCCTTGTTTTTCAATGCAGCATAGCATTCCATTGTGTGAATATACCACAGCTTCTCTATCCATTCGTTTGTTGATGGGCACTTAGGTTGTTTCCAACACCTTGCTATTGTGAACAAAGCTGCAATAAACATGGGTGTGCAGGTGGTTTCTGTTAATACTCTGTTTTACTCTGTAAAACCCTATGCCATTCTGTTTTTTAGGAGAACTAGGAAATGCAGTTATGAAGAGTTCAGACCTTGAGGTCAATCAAACCTGATTTTAGAATCACTATTGTACATATGCTTCATAAGTTACTTCACAACTTTCATAAACCTCAGTTTCTTCATCTATATAATAGAAATAACGATTGCTCCATCCTACAAGGGTTATTTATTGTAATAATTAAGTAAGATAATATTTTTCTGGTTTTAATTGTTTTTGGTCAAACATTCTTCTAAGTGGTAAAGTAGCACTGGTCTGTCAATTTGCTGTACAGAGGTAACTCGTGGTAGCTGTGATTCTAAACACTGAGACAGTGATGTGTCAAATGCAATAATGGTTACCAATGCTGGTCAGTGTTTAGTGGAGCTTCCAGATTAAAACAGGCTTGGAAGCAGAAGTGGCATCCAATTCTGAAATAGTTTGCCTCCAAAACTCTTAGGAACTTAGAGAAACAATGAAAGTTATACAAGTGTTCAGGATTTATGTTCATAGGGTCACTATGAGTCATCTATGATTCGACGGCACTTAACAGCAATCTCTATAAATTCCTTAACAACAACAACAATCTGTGTAAATTCCAGAACTTATTTTTTTGAAAGGGTAGGCTAAAAATTGACATACAGATTAGGAACATCTATCTTTAGGAAGCTGCGCTGCTTACCTAAAAACTGTGCACCTCCAGGGGTCCGAATCCACCAGCAGTGCTGGGAGAAATCTAGGCAGTCTCCTCACTTAATTTAGCCTTAGATCTAGTGCAGGGCACCTGTGAGTCAGAGCCAGTGAGACAGCTCGGTGGTGGTTAGTTTGAGATTTTGTTTGCTTATTTTGTTGTGTGGTGGCTCCCCCACTCTCAGTCTCATCAAGAAAACAAAGATTCTCACAACTGGGCTACCACTGGATTGACTTCACCATCCTTTCCTCAAAAGAGAATTCTGACTGCACTTTTTATGAGACATATTTCTTTATTCTTTGGCAGTCCATAGGATATTCAGTGCTCTTCTCCAATATCACAGCTCAACTGAGGCAATGGGGTTAGGTGTGTCAGAGTCAGTGAGACTGGGACGGCTTCAGACCTGTGGTACACAGGGTTGCTATGAGTTGCAGGCGACTCTGTGGCACGTAACAGCAACCATGGGGAAGAAAAATGCAGCAGACAGTCTGAGGCTTCTTTGCCTGCGTGCCTACCCCCTCATAGCTGATCTTGGGATGTTTAGGAAAGAAACTTAGAAGTCTGTGGTTTTGTACTTGTTTGCTTGCTTTGGAAAGTAATTATCTGCACTGTACTCAGTCTTACTAGTATTAAGAGAAAACACTCTGAGACATTTATGCTCAGTGGCAAAATTACTTTAAGAACTAGTTTATACAACTTACAAAAACACAGTTGGAACACTTATTGGACATTTCAATAGAGACAAGTGTTTTAGAGAGCAATTGTATAATACTTTAAAAAAATTATTGGTGCACATATACACAGCAATGTTCTTGTTGGTGGTATTTAGGTGCCATCGAGTCAAGTAAGACTCATAGCAAGCCTATGAACAACAAACCTGGACCCTGTCCTATCTATGCCATCCTCATCATCCCAACACACTGGAACCCACTGCTGCAGTCACTGTGTCAGTTCATCTCAATTAGGGTCTTCCTCTCTTTTGATGATCCTTTCTAAGCATGATGTCCCTTTCCAAGAAACAGCCTTTCCTAGCAACATGACCAAAGTGTGTGAGATGAAACTTCACCATCCTTTCCTCAAAGGAGCATTCTGACTGTTCTTTTGGCAGTCCATAGGATATTCAGTGTTCTTCTCCAATACCACAGCTCAAAAGAGTTCTCAGATGCATAGAAAGTGACTGAAAAGACCGAGGCCTGAATCAGGTACTCATTAGTCTTCAAATTAACATCATTACTCCTCAGTAATTTGGAGATGTCCCTCACAGCCAACTTTCCCAGCATAGGACGTCCTCTGATATCCTGACTGCTGCTACCAAGGATCTTGGTTATGAATCTAAGTAAGATTGGGGAAGAATAATTCCAAAAGAGAGAATGAGAATGATCACACAACTATAAGAAGTTGAACACAGCAGCACACTAATCCAGTAATTACTCCATGCATAAATCCGTGACATTGATTGTTGTTGTTTTTATGTGCCATCCAGTTGCCTAAAACTCATAGCAGCTCTATGTACAACAGCCCTAATACCTGCTCTATCCTGTGGCAACTTTACTGTCTCTGACACACCTACCCCATTACCCAGTCACTGAATCAATCCATCTCATTGAGGTTCTTCCTCTCCTGCACTGTTCCGCCACTCTTCTAAGCATGATGTCCCTCTCCCACCTTGCAACATGTCCAAAGTATGTCAGAAAAAGCTTTAGAATACTTGCCTCCAAGGAGAAACCTGCTCTCAACCTCTCTAGGACAAACCTGTTTGTTCTACTAGCAGTCCATGGTATAGTCAATACTCTTTCTGCAGCATCACAGCTCAAAGGCATCATTTCTCCTTCTATCATCCCTAGTCATTGTCCAGCTTTCTGATGCATAGTAAGTAATTGCAAAGACTATGGCCAGGATCAGGCGCACCTTAGTCTTCAGACTGACATTGTTGCTCTTCAGTACTTTGGACAGGTCTGTGACAGCAGACTTTCCTGGCTGCTGGTACCAAGATAGTTGATTGTGGAGCCAAGCAAACTAAAGCTGTTAACAATCTCTTTACCATCTATAATGCTGTTGTCAATTGGCCCAGTGGTGAGAATCTTTGTTTTCTTTAGTTGAGCTTCAATCCATATTGAAGGCTTTAGTCTTTGACCTTCCACAGCAAGCACTTCAGATCCTCCTCAGTTTCAGCAAGCAGGGTTGTGTCATCTGCATAATGCAAATTGTTGATTAGTCTTCCTCCAATCCTGATGCCACATTTCTCCTCATAGTGCCCAGGCTCTGGGATAATCTGTTCTGCAAATATCTTGAAAAAGTATGGAGATAAAACACCTCCCTGGTGTACCCTTCCCAATTTTGAACCATGCAGTGTTTCCTTGCTCTGTTCTGACATAGGTTTTGCATAAGCACAATCAAGTGTTCTGGGATTTTCATTCTTCTCAGAGTAAACCACAGTTTATTGTGACCCACAGAGTCAAATGCCTTTGCATAGTCAATGAAACACAGATAGACATTCCTCTGGTACTCCTTGCTTTCAGCCAAGATCCATCTAACATTAGTTATACTATCCCTAGTACCACGGCCTCTTCTAAACCCAGCCTGCACTTCAGACAGTTCTCTGTGGATATACTGTTTCAGTCGTTTATTTATAATCTTCAGCACAGTCTTGCTTACATGTGATATCAATGATACTATTCAATAATTTCCATATTCTCTCCGGTCATCTTTGTTTGGAATGGGAACAAATACAGATATCTTCCAGTCAGTTGGCCAGGTGGCTGTCCTCCAGATTTCTTGGCACAACTTGATGAGCACATCCAGGGCAGCATCTGTTTGTTGAAATATGTCAACTGATAGGCTGTCAGTTCCTGGGGACTTGTTTTTTGCCAGTTCTTTCAGAGCAGCTTGAACTTATTCATTGTTTCATTAAATTCTTCTGTGTCAGCCAACTCCTTTTGGTTCTTATTGTACAACCATTCTTACTTTCCTGTTTGGAATGATTCTCCCCCATTAATATAAGTGCACTGCCCCCTTAGTTTTCTGCTGTTTCAAGCTAGCCTTATCTGTTTGGGGAGCTAGAGGGCACTGTCTGTAGGTGGTTACACGGCTAACCAAATGGTGTGCCTCTCTACTAGCAGCTCCTTGGGAGAAAGATAGTAATCTCCTCCACGTGCTTTAAAACTATAGGAGCCTGCTGGATGGTCGGTGAAGGCAGAGAGAGAGCTTATCAGTTTAATCCTTTATTGAGAGTTTTTAGAGCACAGCCTTCACAGCAGACATTCTTCAGGATTAAGCTGAATGATTGTTTAGTTTTAACAAGACTTCAGGGGGTACTTTTGATTTAAAGAAAATGGGAAAGATCTAGTGGGGACTTGAAAAGACAGGGTAATGATGGGCTTAGTCCAATGGTGCTTAATTTTATAAAACATGGGAATAACTGTATGAAACATAATGCGAATGAAGAATAATAGTGTGAAATACAATCAATGTATACAAACTTTGTAAACAAACCAATGTAAAATAAAAATTTTTTAAAATAATATTGTAAATAAACATGTGACAAAAAAGATTAAGTCAGGGCAGTAGTTCTGGGGGTTCATCTAGGCTCTATGCCCCAAAAGTCTATATTCTGTGAGAATTTGAAACTCTGCCCAGCATTTTCCTCTTTTTAATAGGATTCTTCTAGAGACATGGGAATCAAAGTGATGGTATACAGTCTATTTTAATGTGTAGATCTGGTAGATGTGAGAATAGCCCCTGGGCAAAGGACATGGAAGGGAAAACAAGTTGCCAGCTGGGTAGAGTGCTCCAACAAGCAATATCCATTCTTTTGGCATCTGGTACAATTCTGGGGTGTTGTAGGGGACATGGACAAAGCCAGCGTCTCCATATATATCTACTAGGTCCCTTTAGGAACAAGAAGTCACTTGGATGGAGGAAGAAGGCTGGTGGTACGGGGTTGGACTCAGGCTGCTTCTCTCCACAGGCTGCCGAAAAGGGTCACATGGACATCTGCTCCCTTCTTTTGCAACACAGCCCAGCCCTGAAGGTCATCCGTGACCAGAAGGAACGGCGAGCGTGTGACCTGCTGCCCTGTGACAGTGACCTTCAGGACCTGCTTGCCAGTTGACGTGCTGTCTCCTGTCTCGGGCTGCCCATCAAGGCCCTGCAGACAAAGTCTCCACCCTCTTAGCTGCAGGTGGGGAACTACAGCAAGTCCAGGAAGGGCCTGATTCTGACCTCTGAGGAAACAAGGCAGTGGACTCGGTGGGCTGCATGTGATTAAGCCTGGAGAGATGATCATATTCTGAATTAGTTTATGTGACATCTGTCCATTTGGAAAAAAATAAAGTCATAGTCTTACCTTACTTCACAAAAATAAATATTTTAAGTATTGAAAACCAAAACCATGTTAAGATGAGAACAAATTTAAAGCTATGTGACTTGGTAAAAGTAATTTCATCCTTCTTACTATTGGCACCTCATCTGTAAAACATGAGTAATAACATTAATACCTCCTCACAGTCAGTGTGGCCATCAGAAGAGTGAATGTGTGGGAGGCACTTAGCCCATGTGGCATATGGCAGTCAGGGCCTAAGAGCACTTCTGACCAATAATTGTTTTTATGCCACAAAATGTCATTCATTTTCATAATCAGATGAATAAAAGTACTGTTGCTTTGTTTAAGTTTGCATTTTCCTGTTACTAAAGTCTTCTGTGGACTTTCTGTCTTACATGCATTTCTAAAAATTTCTTTTTCTTGATTTGTAGGAATTACACACACACACACATACACACACACACACACACACACACACACACACACACACTCCAGATACGGTTTTTTTCTATTGTAACTATCTATGTATGTACATAATTCTTGATGTTAGATGCTATCGAGTTGACCAGCTCACAGAAATCTTAAGCACTGCCTGAGGGGACACTGCCAGGCCCTGGGCCTCCACACAGTTGTCTGTGTTTGAGCACAAGGCTGCAGGGCATCTCGTTGGAGGTTTGTGCATTTTCCCTGACTCTAAGTTTACCAAGTATGATCCCCTTCTCCATGGATTGCTCCTTCCTGAAAGCATCTCCAGAGTACATCAGATAAAGCATCATAATCTCCTCTCCTAAGGAGTGTTCTGATTGAACTTCCAGACAGATTGATTCTTTTTTCTGACAATACATGGTATATTTAATATTCTTTGGCAATACCATCATTGAAATGCATCACTTCATCAGTCTTCCTTTTTTTATTTGTTTTAATTTTTTATTTTAATTGTGATTATTTTTATAGGTTTGCTTTAAAAGTTCATATACATTGTGTTTCACACTATTTTTCACTCATATATTGTTTCATATAATCATTATTATGCATTACATTTTTAATAAATCACCATTGGACCTTGTCCATCATTACTCTGTTATTTTCACCCAGTTTCTTCCTCTTTCCTTCCCCTCACCCTCTCCCTCCACCAAACTGTGCAATCCTGTGGTTACACTCGTACCCATCCTCACCCCTCCACTCCCACCCCTTCCATATATGTCTTACTAGTTATCCTTCTATTTTTACAATAATGATCTTATGCAGCATTTGTCCTTATGAGACTGAGTTGGTTCATCTCTGTTTGTTTCTCAGTTGTGGAATAGTTGGGTCATAGGGAGTTTCTGTGTTCAACTTTTTGAGGAAATGCCAAACTGTCTTCCAGAATGGTTGTATCATTTTACAGTCTCACCAACAGTGTATGAGAGTTCTCACCTCTCCACATCCTCTCCAACATTAATTGCTTGCTGTCATATTAAACTTTGCCACTGTGACTGGAGTGTGACGGTATCTCATTGTGGTTTTGATTTGCATATCTCTTATTGCCAGTGATTTGGAGCATTTCATTTTTTTCCTTTTTATTTGTTTTTTAACTTTTTTATTATTAATTTCAATGAAAATTTACAGAGACTTTGGATTTCCATTCATTCACTGTTGCATGGAGCATTTCTTTATGTGTCTGTTGGTCACCCAGATGTCTTCCTCTGTGAAAGGTCTATGTCTTTTGCCTGTTTTGTAATTGGATTATCAGTTCTGTGTGTGTGTGTGTGTGTGCGCGCGCGCACGCGCGCACGCATTAAGGCCTAGGGGTATTCTGTAAACATTTGTTATGAGACCCTTTTCTTTTTTTTTTCTCTCTCTTTTTCTTTATTGGGAAAAACATATTAGGGGGTGCAAGGAGGTGAGGGTTGGGGGAAGAAGGGTGAGGATGGGCCAGGATGCAGTTGCACAGCTACACAGTTTGGTCGGTGGGGGGAGCAGGTGAAGGAAATGATGAGGGTCCAGAGGCGACCAGATACTACAGAGGAATGACAAGCATTTTCCAATGGTAATTAAACCAACTGTCTTATTGATTTGGGAATTGGATGCTGACTCTCTGGCTTCTTCATGCTGAACAGGGGCATAGATGTAAAGGGGGGAAGGGAGGACGCGGTCTTGGGTTAAAGCTGCTTGCCATCTTGCTCTGTTAGAAGATATTTTCCTGTCATTTGCTCCCCTCTGGACTGCAAAGTGTTTTCCCAGGTGGGTCCAGTGGGGATGGCTGGTTGAACCCAGAGGCTCCATCCTCCTTTGCTTCCTTAGCTGTCAGTTGTATTTCCTTTTTGTCACTGGCACTGGGTTCAGGGTCAATTCTGGAGTAAAACTCAGAGTTAAGGTTACCTATAGGAAAGGGAGCAAACCTAGAGAGAACAAAGTTGTGAGTTACAAATAGAAGGGCTTTGAGAGTGTTGCTTTCAGGTTTACTGGGGGCGAGGGTGGCAGAAGGTGGCCTAGGTAACATTGGATACCCTAGGCATTCTTTTTTTTTCTCTCCTTCCCCACCCAGGGGTCAATCTGGGGATAATGGCACAAACTGGGGACTGAGGAGCTCACCCTGAGGGCCGCGACGGCTCACCCCAAGACGAGGGCTGAGGGCAGCCCGCCCCGGGCAGAGGGCTGCGACGGCTTGCCCCAAGCCGGGGACCAAGGGCAGCCTGCCCCAGGCAGAGGGCCAAGGGAAGCCTGCCCCGGGCAGAGGGCTGTGACGGCTCACCCTGAGCCGGGGGCCAAAGAAAGCCCACCCCGGGCAGAGGGCCACAATGGCTCACCCCAAGCCGGGGGCCGAGGGAAGCCCGCCCCAGGCAGAGGGCCGCGACGGCTCGCCCCGAGCCAGGGGCTGAGGGCAGCCCATCCCGAGCAGGGCAACACCCCCCAGGAGCTGGCTGGTATACTCCCCCTCCAATTGCCTCTACCCCAGTCTGGTCCCCTCGCCTGACTGAGGACTCTGTGGTCAGGGGTAGTGTTTTCAATTCCAGTACTGCCACTTTTACCCCCCATAAGTGGTCATACTATATTTTGAAGTAGGTGTCACTGCCCTCCCCCTTTATATATGATAAAGGGAACCTGAGAATTGTGAACAGACTCCCCCCAGGAGACCCTTTTCTGAGATGATACTGCCAAAGGTGTGTTCCCAGTCAGTAGGTTTTCTTTTCACCCTGTTGGAAAAACTTTTTTCCCTATATTGTGTTTCCTACAATCATTCCTATGCATTGTTGTTGTTTTTAAATACTGGTTTATTTACAATGTTTGAATGCATTGGTTTTCACGCTGTATCTTTCCCATTTCTTTCACTGCCCTCCCCATGAAATTGTATATCGCTATGAGTAACTGTCCCCCACCCACCCTCAACCCTCTGCTTCCACCCTCCCCCACCCTTGGATCCTCATATTCATTCTACAATAATGGTTTTATACAGTATTTGTCTTTATGCAACTGTGTTAGTTCTCTCAGTATAATGCTCTCCAGTCCCTTCCGGGTTGGGTAGTAATTTGCAAAATCATTGCTCTTGAGCGCTGCATAGTATTTCATTGTGTGCATGTATCATAATTTCTCAATCCATTCAATTGTGGTTGGACATCTAGGCTGTTTCCATGTTCCTGTGATGGTGAATAATAGTGCTATGAACATGGGTATACAAATCTCCTTTTGTGCCTCAGTTCTCATTTTCTCAAGATATTCCAAGTAGTGGAATAGCTGGGTCATATGGAATTTCTATGTTCAGCTTTTTTTTTTAAATTAATTTTAATGCAAGTTTAAAGAGACTCAAGATTTCCATTCATTCATTGTTGCACTTTTTTCCCTGGCTACCCTTTCCCCTCAATTCACTCTTCTCTTTAAAAAAGAGTATTTTTTTTTCAGAAAAATTCTTTCATTGTTATACAATTCCTCCCCTCAAGTCCACTCCACTGTGCAGCCTTCATTTTGGACTTCTGTCATGACAATAATACATAATCATATATCCCTTTTAAACAGTTCTTTCCCTCATCTGTTTCAATGCAGTATACATTATTTGTTCCCTCTTTCTCAGTCTTTCCTCAACCCCAATGTCAGTTCCGTTTTACAACAGTGGCATTATGCAATATTTATCCTTCTGTGACTGAGATATTTCACTCAGAGTCTTCCAGGGTCACCCATTTTGTACAGCCATAGGGGTTGCACCATTTTACACTCCCACCAACATTGAATAAGGGTTCCAGTTTCTCCACAACCTCACCAGCATTTGATGTTTGTTGTTCTGTTAAATGTTGCAATTCTTACTGGGGTGAGATGATATGTCATAGTTGTTTTGATTTGCATCTCTCTTAGAACTAGGGACTTTGAACATTTCTTCTTGTGTTTGTTGGCCATCTGAATGTCTTCTTTGATGAAGTGTCTGTTCATATCCTGTGCCTATTTTTCAATTGGATTATTTACCTTTATCTTGTTGTGATTATGTTCAGCTTTTTCAGGAAGCACCAAACTGCCTTCCAGAATGGTTTTACCATGGAAAAACTTTCTTGAAAAGCACAGAGATTTACTCTTTAGAAAATCCCATTAATCAATTTTATCCTCCCTAGATTTCTGGTTGAATTTGGCAGTCTGTTTATATAAAGAGACTAGGCCTTCTAAGCTTGGTCCCAGTTTGTCTGTTATGAACTTTATGGTTTTGGGCTTAATTCCCTGGTTTCTGATCCACCTGAAGGTGATTTTTGTGTACGGTGTGAGATGTGGATCCTATTTCAGCTTTATGCAGGTAGCAGTCCAGTTTTGCCAGCACCATTTGTTGAAAG